CGAGGACGATCGGAAGCCCTGCACACCGGCAGGCAAAGACAAGAGACGTCTGAAGACGAATTAGACAATAGAGGCCAACGCTCCTAACTTGAACGTTGAAGAGCTAGCGGCTTACGCCACCACTAAGAGCCAGGCAGGAGTCCCGGACGAAGAGATCCTGCGTGAGATCACGCAGATGCTGAGAGAGGACGGATGGAAGGAAGCAGCGATTGGGCCAACGATCGAAGCAGTCGTTAAGCGATCATCAGTCGTAGGGGGGAAGGGCTCACCAAGGCAGGAGGGCTCACCAAAAGCTAATCAGAACGCCGTGGCCCAAGTAATGGAGCAGATGATGCAGCTGCTCAGCCCAATGGCTAGTCGCCTAGAGGCACTTGAGAGAAACCAAGCCAAAGGACGTTCGGAGTCATCCCCAAGAGTCGACACTCCTCCACTACCGCTAACAACAGTCGCCAAGCCAGCAGCCCGCAAGAATAAGTTTCCCGACCTAGAGCGTTTTGATGGGACACGTGATAACTACCTAGGTTAGAAATTCAAGTGCGAAGGGAAGCTAGAGTACGACTACGCCATGTTCCTAACGGAGGACGCAAAGGTCCAATACGTGCTCAGTTAAACGAAGGGCAAAGCAAACTAGGTCCTTCTTCCCTAGGTGCTTGAGAATAAGAAACGAACTACAGCCGGCCTATAGGAGCACATGGATACTCACTTCTAAGACGTGCACTAGCAGTAGCGTGCGCTAAACAAGCTTCGGCACTTAAAGTAAGGACGACGACCAATACGCGACTATGTCTCAGAGTTCAACTAGCTTCGCGTAGAGTCCTGACAGCAGTTCAGCCTAGCAGTAGCTTGTGAGATGTTTAGTAAGAGACTTAGAGAAGAGCTCTAAAAGCTAATGCTCTATACTCTAAAGAACAGAAGTCTAAAGGAATATATGGACAAGGCAATCAAGCTTTCTAATGACCTATACCGGATCCAGTTGCACGGGAGGAATCAAAGGAACGCGGCCTACAGTCATGTGCAAGGTCCCCTGAAGGTCGCTCAGCGAGATGCTAGTCTAGAAGCGATGGACTGGGAGCCCTCGAAGGCCAATCGGGCACGGGAAACGAAGGATAGACCAAGGCGGTCCCCACTAGACTGCTACAGCTGCGGCGAACTAGGCCACATCGCTAGAAACTGTCCGAACACCACTCGGGTTAAGAGAGCCATTCCCCCAAGCAAAGGGCAGAGACGCCAGAAACAGATCAAATGCCCAGACGATAGCGACTCGGAAAAAGAGTAGCTCTGGGCCAGAGTCTTGGCCCAGAGCCTCTGAAGATGGATCGGCAGATACGTAGCGAATGGAATCAGTTTTAGCAGAAGCATATGCGTCCCCCACCAATCACCATAGATCTTATTGTGAACAACATAGCAAACGCTGTCGCGCTTATAGACTGCGGATGCCTATGCTATGCACTAATTAGCAAGAGATTCGCTTACCGCCACTGTCTAGAGCGCTTTCAGATCCCCTCTTGGATAATTGAGGGAGTGAACGGCAAGCTATTAGAGATTAGCGAGGTCGCCTAATTCTTGTTCAAGATGCATAGGTACAAAGAGACTGCTTATGCATACGTGATGGACTTGTCCTCTAGTAAGGACGTGTACCTTAGTAGGGGATGGATGGACTACTAGGACGTATTAGTATCTCCTGCTAAGAAGAGTATTTTTATCTACTTAAAGGGCATTTGAGTAAGGTCGACTAAAGGACGCCTATGAGGAGGAGTTAGCCAAGTTAACGCTGTAGCGTTTGCGGCCTTAGTTCGTAGACATAAGAACGCTCTAAATAGCGTTTAGATCTTCGCCGCGTTAATTGCAGACATCGACAAGGCGCTACAACCGAAGAAGCCCGTAGATGTACGAGCGCTGCTACTAACACAGTACTAGGAGTTCTATGAGCTCTTTAACCCGAAGCAAGCAGAGAAGCTTCCACCGCACCGAGGGCCAGGGGTGGACCACAAGATCAAGCTAGAGCCGAAGGATGCTCAGCTACTGTGGGGACCCCTCTATAGCATGTCGCGCGGAGAGCTCCTAGTCCTTAGAAAGGAACTTACATCGCTTCTTAAGAAGGGATTTATCCGCGTAAGCAGCTCGCCAGCTGCAGCGCTAGTATTGTTCGCCAAGAAACCTGGAGGAGGGCTCCAACTGTGCATCGATTATCGAGCTCTGAACGCAATTACTAAGAAGGACTGGTACCCGCTACCCCTCATCTAAGAGACACTTAACAGCTTAAGCAAGGCTAAATGGTTCACAAAGTTAGACGTTATCGCAGCCTTCCACAAGATCTGTGTCGCACCAGGCGATGAGTGGAAGACAGCCTTCCGAACAAGATTCGGACTGTTTGAGTGGCTAGTTACCCCCTTTAGCATGGCGAACTCCCTAAGTACTTTTCAACGATACATTAACTGGACCTTAAGAGAACACCTAGATGACTTCTGCTCAGCATACCTGGACGACGTACTAATCTACACTGATGGCGATCTGCGCCAGCACCGAGAGCACGTCCGAAAAGTGCTTAGCAAGCTGCAAGCCGCAGGGCTACAGGTGGACATCAAGAAGTGCGAGTTTAAAGTCAAGATAACTAAGTACCTTAGGTTTATTATCGAAGCAGGTAAAGGGATAAGCATGGATCCAGCCAAGGTAGCCGCAATCCGCGAGTGGGAGGCACCAAAGACAGTAAAGGGAGTAAGATCGTTCCTAGGGTTCGCGAACTTCTACTAAAGGTTTATTAAGAACTTTGCGCAGCTAGCCGCACCCCTTACTAGGCTTACAGGTGACGTCCCCTTCTAATAGGGATCTAAAGAGCAGTCAGCCTTTGAGAAGCTAAAGGAGATCTTCGTTACAGAGCCCACGCTGGCGGCGTTCGACCCAGATCGGGAGACAGTGCTCGAGTGCGATTCGAGCGGCTACGCGGTGGGCGGGGTGCTATCACAGTACGACGATGATGGAGTCTTACGGCCTTGCGCGTTCTTCTCGCGGAAGAATAGCGCGCACGAGTGCAACTACAAGATCCACAACAAGGAGTTGCTCGCGGTAGTACAATGCCTTAAGGAATGGGATTCCAAGCTGCGTTTAGTTAAGAAGTTCAAGGTGATTACAGATCACAAGAACTTAGAGTACTTCATAAAACCT